TGAAGAAAGTTTTCCTGATACCAATCTAAACCTCCCCTGGCCCAACTTGAGGCCATTTCCTCTTGTCCCATCATTTCTCACTTGGGAGACCCAACCTCCCTGCAGGGAGCTGTAGAGAGTGGTCAGATCTCCCCTCAGCCTCCTCCTCTCCAGGCTGAACACCCCCAGCTCCCTCAGCTCCTCCTCACAGGACTTGTGCTCCAGACCCTTCCCCAGCCCCGTTCCCTTCTCCGGACACGCTCCAGCCCCTCAGTGTCTTTCTTGTCGTGAGGGGCCCAGAACTGACCCCAGCATTTGAGGCGTGGCCTCAGCAGTGCCCAGTACAGGGGGATGATCCCTGCCCTGCTCCTGCTGGCCACCCTGTTTCTCATACAAGCCAGGATGCCATTGGCCTTCTTGGCTACCTGGGCACACTGCTGGCTCATATCCTGCCCCTCGTCCCCAGGCCTGCAGCGCTGCAGGAGGTTGTTGTGACCCAAGTGCAGGACCCAGCACTTGACCTTCTTGACCCTCCCACAACTGGCCGCGGCCCATTGATCCAGCCTGTCCAGATCCCTCTGCAGAGCCTTCCTGCCCTCAGGCAGGTCAACGCTCCTGCCCAACTTGGTGGCCTGCTACTGCACCTTTAAGACTTCCTTCTTGAAGAATGTCCAGCCTTCCTGGAGGCCGTGGCCCTTCAGGACTGCTTCCCAAGCGACTCTATCTACCAGGCTCCTGAAGAGGCCAAAGTCTGCCCTCCCGAAGTCCATGGTGGCAGTTTTGCTGACAGCCCTCCACGCTTCTCTTATTTAGTCGATCCCAGGAAGGACAGACATTGCCAAACCTTCTTTCACAGGTCTTTCCTCAAAATAACTCCTGAGAGTTATTTCCGCTCCGTGGGCCTCAGGGGACTGTACCGACCAGCCCACCTGTTACACGGCCGGTCTGAGTCTTAGGCGAATGACGTCTACCCTTCCCTTGCTCATGTGAGATGCGCTTTCCCTTTGTGGGCAAAGCGCCGAGTAGCGAGGAGCCACAGTTCACAGGAAGGCTGCAGAAACGCCAGAACTCACGCCCAGGTACCTTTCTGCTCTCAGTGCCATCTTACTGCTGACCCCGGCGACGCAGGATACTGGCCTGCTGAGCCTCCTGACCAAACCGCTCGGGAATGAAGACTCAAGAAAATGCTCAAATGAGTAACTGTTGTCACTTGCAGGATTGGGAAAGAGGAGACAAATGCGTTAAAACGCATAACTGCAATGAGCTCTGTCACAAGGTTCCTTCCTTCACACATTCATTTGCCACATCGCTGATGTTCTACCAGCAGCTTTACAGCTGAGACGTACAGACGTAGTGTCGCGTTGCAGCCACCACGTGAACACCTCCTGGAGTCTGAGGCATTAAACTTTCCGTGGATACCACATACCTCACACCCGTTGAGCACCCGTTGTGCTTGGCTCTGAATGTGCGAAATTATAGGACTTTGTTGCAGGTCTTTATGTGAGCACTTTCTGGAGAGGAAGGTGAGTTTATTGTTTAAAGTATTTATTTCAGGCGCTCACGCTCGCTCCCGAAAGCGCCAAGATATGGCAACTTGTCTGTTCAAGCATGGATGTGTTTGCAATAATCCTCAGGACGAGGGATCCTGGCTTTCAGGTTGTCAATTCTTCCAGCCATTCCTGGATAGATCTTTCTGTACCTTCTAGGACCTGACACTGGCTCTGCATCTTGCCCCACCTCTGGGTCATTAAGGTTTACTCACTGTCTCCTACCCTGAGTGTCCCAAGAAGCTGTGAGCTGAAGTGCTGGGATTTGGGTGACTGAAACGGGACACCATCAAAACCTTTCTCCTGCTGTGCCCTCCGGTGCTCCCACACCCCAGCAGTCCCGCTCATATTCCATTCACCTGAGGCTGAAGGGGTTAAGTACAGTTTTCTACAGGTGTAGACAGTTTCTGCCACCAGTTACTATCCGGACTTGGGTTAAGAGGTGCTGAAATAAGAATGGAGATATACCTAAAATTAAGCTCCTGAACAAAGATAATGCTTCCAGGTACGTAAGAGCATCCTTTTGTTTGAACCTGCTTCACCCATGGTCCTCCCTTTCCTGCTGTTTTGGTTTCTAGGTCCAAGTTTCTGAGACTGAGTATGTCCACTTAAAGGTGTTTGAGGTACTTCCGTCCCCGGACAACGACGGTCCCATACTCACGGGTTTTCAGACTGGCAAAACCAGGGACGATCCTCTGACCTTCTTCTGAACGACGATGGGGAGTGGCGCCTTGCTTCTGCCAACGGCCTGGGGATTCTGCCAGTGTCACCAAAGGCAGGAAAATAAACTAGGTTTTGAAAACGCCGTTTGCTCACGTACTCGTGTTGTGCCTAGGCTGTCTGCCTGGCTAATGCTCGGGTAGGCTCTCCAACGCTATTCAGGGCTGTTTCTGCCACCTGAGGTACTACAGCGGTGAAAGGGAGCGCTCCCGTTTCAGCTCCCCTTTCCAAACTGCCGTCAGGCATCCTCTGAGGCCAAAACCTGGGCCCCCGGCGTATACTCTGGGCACGGACGGGCTCCGTCCTTCAGCATGCGGCTTGTGGGGTTCGCTCGTGTGCGTTGGACACAAACCACTGGCCGCTTTTCCGAAAGTGCGGGAGAGAACTGAGAAGCCAGGCTGTGTCCCCCCTTCGTGAGTCAGCGGGGAAAGGGGGCAGGAGGCAGTAGGATCCCAGCATTCAGAGAGTGCCTGCCCTGACTCAGAGGGTGTGCTTTCCTGGAGACCTGTGGAGCTCATCCTTTTCTTCTTCCCTTGTAGCATCAGTCACTGGAAGGAGCGCGGTCTTCCGTTGAGCTCTGGGGCGACTGAGGTCGAGGGCAAGCCCAGGCCACAACAAAAACACTTTCCTGTCAGCAGCTGCTCAGGTAGGGGCCTTTGACTGACCTGCCGGGGGCCTGGGGCTCAGGGGCAAGACAGTGAACGCCTGGGTGGGTTTCAGGCTGTGCGTTCCTCTTTGGGTGCACTAGTGAAGGGTGGGTATGCGACTGTCACGGGCCTGTAGCGCCGAGAAAAGTGCGGCAGGCTGCCCGTTCCTCTGCGTGCCAGTATCCTGGATCAGATGCCTTGATTCCGGGGACTTTAGGAGTAGCCCCTCCCTTGTGCATCTCATCCGGTTTCCGCAGGAGCTGTCCTGCAGCCTGACGTTACAGATATTTTAAGATGCAACAAAAGTCTGGTACTATCACCAACATCCTCTCCCAGAGTAGCATCTGGGGGAAACGCTCAGCTCTTCCAGCTGCGAAAAAGCTACAGAGTGGGGAGTTACCAGCACCAAAAGACCCTGTGCCTCCTCACCACTTCAGCAAAACAACTGCCAGAATAAGCCAGACTTCCTCCCTCCCACCCTTTATTCTCTGTTGGAGGGGAGTGCAGGGAGAACGCTCTTTGGGCTGATGCAAGCAAAAGCGTGTAAGCTCTCCTTCATAACCAGGAGGCAGAACACGCTCCTGCGGAGCAAGGCTGGTCACACCCGCACGCAGCACACCGGCAGCGGACAGCCCGGTAACACGCGGGCTTTCACCCTGCCCTCTCCTCTCACAGCCGCTGCGGCCCAGCGCGCGCAGCCGCGTCAGCTAAACGGGGCGGGTTCCCCTCAGAGTGCAGCAACCCCCGTCCAACTCCTAACTTACCTGTGCAAGGCGAACGTCAGAATTCCCAAGGTGGGCCACAGAATTTTTCTGAGCAGGTATAAATAGTATGTATTGATACTTGACTGCCTCCCCCTTCGCCTCGCTGTCCCAGGGCGGAACAAGCCCAGCTTCCTCAGCCTTTCCTTTTAGGTCCGATGCTCCAATCACTTCCTTGCCTTGGTGGCCCTTTGCTGGACGTGCTGTGGTCCTTCCGTGCCCGCCTTGCGCCGGGGTGCCCAGAACGGGGGACAGCGCTCCGGCTGTGGTCTGACGGGGCAAAGTGGGGGGTAAGACTGGTCGCTCATTCTGCTGGCAGTGCTCTTCCTAATGCACCTTTGCTGCCGGCTGTCCAACGGGATGACTCCCAGGCCCTTTTCCGCAGAGCTGCTTGCCGGCCCAGCTGCACTGGTTACTCCTTCCGCGGTGCAGGGCGCCGCCTCTCCCTCTGTTGACAGTTTGCGCGATGCCCATCTGCTCCTTTCTCCAGGCTGTTGACATCTCTGAAGGGCAGCGCAGCCACCCGGGCTATCAGCCACTCCTCCCGGGTTTGCGGCGTGCAAACCCGCTGAGGCCACGCTCGATCCCATCACCCGGGCGAAGATGTTACACAGTGCCGGTCCCAAGACTGACCCCAAGGGCAGGGCACGAGGGACTGACCTCAGGCTGCACTCTGTGCTCCTGGAACCCTTCGAGCACAGAGGTTCAGTCTGCAGGCCACTCACCGAGCACACGCTTCATCAGTTGGCCAGTGCGGATCTTACGGAAGACGGTATCAAAAGCCTTACTGAACTCAAGCGGAGTCACATCCACAGCCCTTCTCTCCTCTCTCGGGACACTTACCTCAGGCTATCAGGTTGATGAAGCACAATTTCCTCTTTGTAAATCCATGCTGACAACTTCCAGTCACCTTTTTGTCCTTCATGCGCTTGGAAACGGCTTCCGGGATTATCTGCCCCATCACTCTCCCAGGGACTGAGGTGCGGCTGAGCCCATACTGCTCCAGCTGCTCAGTCTTGAACACAGGAGTGACCCTTTCTTCCTTCCAACCCCGGGAACCTCCCCCGACCCCACGACCTTTCACAGGCCCTTGTAGGGACACCGGCCAGCTCCCGACGCATCCCTGGGTGCATCCCCTCGAGTGCCATTGTGCCGTCCAAGCCCCCTTTGTTTAAATGTTCCCCTAACCCGATCCAGCTCTGCTGAGCAAAGGCTTCCTTTCTCCAGACTTTCCTCTTGGGGACCTCAAATTCCCAAAGCCAAGGCCAACCAGTAAAGACCAAGACAAAGGCAGCACTGAGTGCCTCAGCTATTTCCCTGTCCTCTGTCACCAGGTCCCCTGCTCCGCGGAGCACCGAGGGCCCACATGCTCCCTTTGCTGCTGATATACCTGCAGAACCCTTTCTTGCTGCTATTCTTGTCCCTCGCCCGACTAAAATAAATGATTTCTAATTAAAACATAAACACATGGGTATCTGGAATATTAAAAACACACACAGAAAAACCCTCTAAGCAACATAAACACATAGAAAACCAGTAAAGAACAGTGAAACAGCAGTCAAATACGCCAGTTCAAGGGAAATATTTATTGTTATTAAGCTGGACAAGCGTTTCTGCATTAAGTTCCTTTCTAGGACTTTTCCTTAGGACTTAGAAAATAAGCAAGAAGTTGGTTTTTTGGTTTATTTTTAAACTCATACACCCTCTACTGGACATTATACCCTACTGCTGCAAGAGGCTGAACGTGACTACCAGGGCAAGACTGTAACGCTCCTTTCTCTTACTCTCCAAATCGCTTCAGATCAAGTCCCTCTTCAGGCCTCTGCCAATCAAATACCCAGCACAATTTAAATCTACACTCACGGATGCCAAACAGCACTGAAAACATTCAGGTTTTCCTCTTGCTCCTTTGCTGCAAATACATGAGCGTCACTCCCCTTCCAAATTCCAGACCAAGCCCAGCAAGAGAACTCAGCCACCCTATTCCAGTCCAGTTGCGGTGAAGTCAGTGCCGCTGCTTGGGTCTGTCTGGGCATCGGGGACTCCAAAACTCAGGTATTGCACGGCAAGGGAATGGCGTAAAAGCAACTGATTTTTTTCCCAGCGTTAAGTTTAAAAAAAAAGACACTTTCCTTTCTCCCTGGTTGGCAGAGGACTCAACGTTTTGCAGAAAACGCCCGTAAGAAACCCTCAGGAAAAGGCACGGGAGAAGCCTGCTAGAAAAAAGCCAGTTCGTCGTGCTTCGTCTTGCTGCTCTGGTAGCTGTGGAGGCTCAGCGGCTTCTTCTCATGAGGAAGGCTTCTGAACACCCGCAGGTGCACGAACTCGTTGTTGCCAAGGTGGACCTGCAAAGCCGGAAAACCCCTGAGTTCCATGGCGTGACTTCAGCGGGAGAGCTGGGGCGGAGCGGTGCGTTTTGAGGATGGAGAAGCAGGGCGGGGGTAGGAGAAGCCGCCGCCTCAGAGGTGCGGGTCTTGTTTTAAACCACTTGGGAAATACCACCCAATCCTCCCTGTGCCTGGGCTAGGGAGTACACAGGGAGGGAACCAGGGCTGCACAGCAGCGATCCGTGTATTAAAGAACTGCCAAACGCTCCCATCTCATCGGGCACAACAAGCGCTGTAACGCCTTGATCACAGCTGGCTGTGACACCGCTACAGGCAGAGCTGACGCTGCACTGTACCTTACCACATCTGGACTTCACACAGTGTTACAGCCCAACAACATCATGGATGCGTAATAAACCCCCAGACCCAGTTTCACAAAATAACCGAAAAGTAAAAATCACCAGGAAAACCAGAGAAGTGCTCCTATCGCCGTTTAAATCGGGCAGGGAGATGGGCTGGGGGGGG